CCCCCAAAACCCCAAAACCCCAAAACCCCAAAGACTTCAAAAATATTGTTTTTAGTTATTACATAATTAAAATGGAACCAAGCAAGGAAGAACCTGGACAAGAGAAAAGACACTCCCCCTCTAAAAGTATGGTAGACCTGGAAGTTGTCAAATCTGATGATGGCTCAGGTACTAATCCTCAGGGCTCAGAAGGTCATAAATATGAAGAAGAGAAACTGGTAAGTTTAGAGTAGAGCTTGCTAAAAAGAGCCAATAAATAATTTTTGGTTCAGAATTAACATTCCAACTTTAATTGTTGTATAGTATCCTGCTAAAATACTTGAGCATAAATCAACTCAGAGCGTAGATGTTGGAGAAAGCAGGAGACCGAATACAGGTGAGTGTACATTCATAAATGAAGCATAATTTATTCTTTACTATCTCACTATTTAAAACAATAAATTTAGCCAGGAATAATGAAAAGCAGAGGCTCATTTTCAGAGACGAGCTTGGGCTGGACGAGCACTCCAACGCCCCTTCTAAAAGGAAGCTGAAGAAGAACGAGAAGAAATTTCAGAAAATTCTCCAATCTAATCGGACAAGGACCTTATCAAAAGTCGAGAGAAAGTTCCTGTCAATGTATTTAATCAATAAGAAAACCAGCTCGATTACTGATGAGCAGAGGTCTAAACTCTGGCTGATCGGGTCTGGAGCGGAAACTCTCCGTCAGGACAATCCAGGGTATTATAAAAAGTTGCTTGATAGAGTTCAGGGTTATCCTAACCCATCTTTCCCACAGATTCATCTCGACCTGCATAGAACTTTTGGCACTGATGAAAGTTTTTATACTAAAGAGAAAGAAGAAACTTTGAAAAGAGTCCTGTCAGCATACGTCTTAAGAAATCCCACGGTGGGATATTGTCAAGGCCTGAATTTCATTACAGCAGGATTAATAAGCCAATTAACAGAAGAGCAGACTTTTTGGATGCTTTGCCAAATAATCGAGACTCTTCTTCCAACAGATTACTTCAACCTCATGACTGGAGTTCTGATTGATCAGAAAGTGTTCGAGACTTTGTTGGCAGAGCACTTTTCCGATGTACATAAACATTTGAAAAAGTGTGGATTTCAGCTGAAATCCTTCACAACCCAGTGGTTTATATGTATCTATGCGAACACTCTAAAGCTGAATTCTCCCAAAGCTGAGTCTGAAAACTTATCTATCTTCGATGTCTGGGACTATATATTCACACAAGGATATACAGGGATATTCAAGGTTGGACTGGCCATCATTGGTTTCTTAAAAGGAGATATCCTTAAACTAAAGGACGAAGGGGACCTCTTCATGCTGTTCCGTGAATGCTCGGATAAACTTCCCAAATTCAAAGACCTTAATAAGTTCTTCAAGAAGCATGAAATCAGTCTTGAGGAAATCAAGAATCACAGATTGGCTTTTAAAGAAGAGATTTATCAAGAATACTTTGAAAGACACTTCAAGGAAGGAGACAGCCACCTCCTAAGAAGTTGTAAAAACATCAATTCTGGGCTTGAGGAGACTCTTAAGGAGAAATTCCTCCGAAAAATCTACCTCTATAATGGCATTTCCAAACTAAGAAGCCAGCAGGATTGGCCGCAGGAAATACTGGACAACTTTGACGAAGAAGTAGTTGCTGGTAATTCCTGTGACACTAATTGGCCTATCTGTTTGTATGACTTTTTCTATCAGAATACAATCACAAGGCATTTCGCGTTCAAAAATAGGCAGAAAATAAACATAATAGAAGATCATTTTGGAGAATCCCCTCAGAATACAGACAGCGAGCAAGAATTACAGTTCACTACTCGGAAGTTAGACAATGGATGTGAGGTAGACTTTGATAGTGAGGAAGAACAAGAGCCTAACCGATTAGATGGACTCCTTCTTGAGCGCAACACTCATTTATGAACCCAGAATAACTTTGAAGAGAAATTCAAGCTTCTCTTTGGCAACAAGAACAGTGAGTTTTTCATTGAAGCTCTTCAGAGTATGTACCAAGACCATGGAGATATGTCATACTCTGAAAAATGTGAGCATTTCATCTCCATCTGCAACATGCTTGCCGAAAAGGTTCCACTATATGAGAAGGGGAACATCAGCAAGGAGTTCTTTGAAAACCTCAAGGAGCTTGAATATGCTGCTAGAAATTCTAAGTAATTTTCAACTTTTTTAGCTAGCACTGGGGTTTTGGGGTTTTGGGGTTTTGGGGTTTTGGGG